TGGTCAGGTACTGACTTTAGCTGCCTGTCCAGTGCCTTCTTGAAGACAGCCAGGGGTCTATTGGTAATCCCCCTTATGTATGCTAGAAGGCAGTTGAACAGTTGAGAGACAACACTTATTGTGTTGTCTCTCAGTGTACTCATGGCACCCCTGCTTTTCATTGGAGAACGTAACATAATATAATAAACTGGAAACTAAGTCCTCTCAAATATCCCATGTATAAGGCAGATTCTCTCTGATTTCTTAATTACCTTTGATTTGCTGTATCAAAGGGCTATATCAAAGGGCCCCAAAATCTGGAATTCATTACCAGAACATACTAAAGTAACCAGGCCTGAAAATCAATTTAAGACTCTTCTAAAAAACCACTTACTTGCCCAGGACTAAATAATCAACACTCAATATTTAACATTTCCAATAATTCTCCCAATTACTTAAATCTTAAAACTTCAAGACAACATACAGTAAATTGATCATCTTGTTTGTTATACACTGTAATGCGACAAATTTGTACAATATAATACTTCAATATCGAAATGTTCAAATTTCATTGTTTCAAATACTCAATTGTACTCATTGTAAATTGCTTATGGTAATTTTTACCACTGAACCTTCATTGCTTGTTAATTTTAAGTTAATTTTAAGCCTGCTCATAATGCTCTGTATACAAGAGGTTTATGGCATGTACACTCAACTATACTATAATTCTTTGTACAACTATGTATCATGTCCAAATGAACTATATGAATATGAACTGTGATCCCTTCCATCCCCCTTTCTTGCTGCCAATGTTATTCCCTCGGTACTGTCTCCAACTGCTATCTCTTTCATCTATGTCTTATGAACCTGTGGCTGTATGACCCTAGTAGGTTTAGTGCTTTGTTTTGATTATAATACATAATTATGAACCTGTGATACTGTATAACTGTTTCCATAAATATAATAATGTAATAGAACTGGACAAGGACCAGATGCCACATTTCTACATTTTTAACACATCAGCTGTTTCCCACTGAGAGATGGTGACAAAAAAAAAAGGGAAGAAAACAATTGCTGTCACTCAACTGTGCTGTCACTCAACTCAAGTGTGTTGATGTCACAGATCAGATGGCCCTCCGAATTCCAACATCACCGCCCCTTCCCCAGGGCACAGGCACTGTACTTCCTACCTCCAGGACTCTAGTCCAGCTAACTGGTTTCCATGAATTCCTTCTTATGTGAAGGATATTGGCCATGTGGTTCACTGGAATCAAATTAGGGAACTAGGTTGTATATTGCAATTCTTACAATGAGTACAATTTACTGTTATTTTTACTAATCTGTTAACCATGATGTTCAACATGCAGTGAATGTTGGTCCTGGATTATTTTAAAATTTGCACCCTTCTCTTATAAACTGTTATCCACGATTTAAAAGATGACTACCACCACAAAAAGGATATCTATAATTTTTTAACACATTGGCCATCTCCTACCAAGGTAGCGTGACCCAAGAAAGGTGGAAACGCATTCACCATTGCTCATTTAGTCACTAGTCTCGTCACAAGTGTGCTAACATCACAGTTCAAGTGGCCCTTCAGACAACCACATCCCCACCCCTCCTTCAGAGTGCAGGCACTGTACTTCTCACTTCGAGGACTCAAATCTGGCTAACCAATCTCCCTGAATCCTTTTGTAAATGTTATCTTGCTCACACTCCAACAGCACATCAAATCATAAAAAACCTTCACTCATTCCTATCTAACATGCTCACACATGTCTGTTGGATGTCCAAGCCCTTCTCATACAAAACCTCCTTTACTCCCTCTCTCCATCCTCTCCTAGAACCACCCGCTACTCCACCTTCCATCCATTGCAGATTTATACACCCTGCAAGTCATCCTTTTTTGCTCCATAATCTCTTAAGTGTCCAAACCACTTCAACAACCCCTCCTCAGTCCTATGGATAATACTTTTAGTAACCCCGCACCTTCTGATATCCAAAGGTTGGTAGACAGCAACCAATCAGGGAGGTACTACTACTGTCCTGCCAAATGAGTGCAAAAGGTAGGATTGCTAGTGTCTTCTTTCTGTCTCATAAACATGCAGAATGATTTCCATTTCCCATTTGCTCAAACCTCCACCTAGACTAACCCCAACCATTACACACCCCTACCCATCACTCACCCCTAACTTTTGTACATTCCTATTTCTGCACATCCCTCCCCACAGTACTGTGTGACCCTTATGGGTTTAGCATTTACCTTCATTACAATAATAGTAATTTCTCCATACTCACATTTGGCTTTTCCTCCTACAAGATCTTATACGTCCCTGCCCAATGTATGAAATCACAGCCTCTCTTTCGTCATCAGCACATAACTACTCAAAATATTCCCTTCATCTTCCCAAGTATGTGCACCTCCTCACCTAATGATGCCCCTCTTTTGATTTTAGCTGATAAATCCATTTGTTCCCTAAGCTTTCTCATCTTATTAATATCACTAAGAAAATTTTCTTAAGTCTCAGTAAAATTTGTTGTTAATGCCTCACCCACTTTCTCATTCGTTCCTTTTTGTGCACTTCCTCATCACTTTACCTCTCCTTTACTCTCTGTATATCACATTGTAGAAACCTCTCTCATGATAACTTTTTTCCCTTTCCACCCTCTTTATGATTACCACCAACCTCTTCTCTTCCCACTCACATTCACCCTCCTATACCCACAAACTTCTGTTGCATACACTAACAATGCATTCTTAAAACCTACCCCATACCTCTTTGACCTCTTTTTCATTACCTGTAGGACTGTTTCTAGCCCACCTTGCTCCCAGGAGTTGCTTATATCTTACCCATCTCCTTTAATTTATTAACTTCACATTCATTCTTACTCACTATTGCCTTTCTCCTTGTATCCCATCACTTTACTCTTCCCTACTATTGATTTCCTCCTTATACCCCATCACTCTTACCATACCCATCTACCTTTTACTCTCACTGTAGATACCACTAAATAATAAACTGATATATTTCTCGCTCCTCTAAAAAACATGCACATCTTCAAATCGTCCCATCAACCTTTTATCTACAAATATACAAAGTCTAACACACTCCTGTCACTTTGTCCAATACAGGTGGGCCCCACTTTACAGTGCTTCACTAATGCAGCAGTTGTCAATTATGTCCATTCTTCATTTATTCAGACTTCCTACAATAAATATGTTCACCACTCCCTATAATCTAAGAAAAAAAAAATATTTTAAGGTAAGTAATGTGTGTACTGTATATGGATTTTTTAGGCCTAGCTCTATTGATCACTTAATTTATGGTAGTGTAAACATTTCAGGCTTTATTGCTTTAAAGTAGAAAAGCTGCTACAGCAAAAAATCATGTATGATTTTGTTGTGCGGTGCCGACCTGCTTATAGCAAGCATTGTATAGTGCCTCATGACTTATTTATCCCACTTATTTAAACATATAATTCTTGAATTTAAAAACTCTTCTTACTAGTATATTTGTATTTTTTTTCACTTTAGCTCTGGTTCCTGAATTCCTATTAATCCTTGCCCACTGAATTCTCTACTGTATTCATCAATTCATTTTCATGCGACAGGCTCTCAGAATTATCTAATACGGATTTTTCTTGAGCATTCTCAAACAAGGCTGTTTTTTGCTTTATTATTATATAATAGACTAATTTGTCTTTCAATTTTTGTTAATTCTGGAGATTAAAAAACAAATTATTTCAGGTTTTCTCATTGTTTGTAAAGTCTCTCTGTTATATTGAAAAAAACATCAAATCCCCCGTCATGTTACGGCAGTGAAGGACTTGAGTAGATTATCAGCCACGCTAGCTGGAGATTCGTTGTAAAACTTGCATTGTGGTCACAAGAGTGCTGTGTAACTTTCTTGTGTAGATATCCTGTTGATGAATTTATGTGAGCTAGCTGTCTAGTGGCTACGCACGGGCTGTTTTTTGAGACTCATACGGGGATAAAAATTCATTCGGCGGGTTGTTTATTGCAATCGTGTCATTCACAGTTCTTGAGTCTTTGTATTGAGAAACTAGTTTATGGGGTTCCAGTGTGAGTATTTTCTGCTGCTTTGTACTCAAAATACTCTTGGATGATCCAATATGATATGAGTACTCAAATCAGTTTACCTGGAGTTAACTCTCTCAAGGTAAACTGATTCGAGTACTCATATCATATTGGATCATCCAAGAGTATTTTGAGTACAAGCAGCAGAAAGTCAGCACGTAGTTAATTTGATATTTCTGAAGATATTTTAGCTGCTATTATTTTGGAACTTCATCACTTTAGTATCAGAGTCAATTTAACTATACTCATCACCAAATACCACTGGCTAACCAATTCGTTTTATAAATTTGGCGATAATTTTAATACTAAAAATATATTATGTATCGTGATAAGTGATATTATAGATATCTGATTACTTATCTGATTAGTTGAACAAGAATGCCAGTTTATGATTATATAATGTAAACACTGATAGCTAATTATAAAGTGCAGTGTTATTTCAAATGCAAGTAAATTTACATTGCAGTATCCTTGGTGAGATCCATATATATGAAGTGGTGCTGGTAGCAATATGTAACTGTAAGATTTACGGTTTTGTGATTATAAACAGTTGAGGAAAACTGTATCACATTTGCTTAACATTTTAATGTTTCATTGCAGATATTGCTGTCCATCTCCATAGATCAAGTGTGAGAGGAAAGAATGGATATGCCGCAAGGAAATAACACAACATTAGGGCTAATTCTCCGTATGTTCATGGTTACTGTTATATTGGTGTAATGTCTTAAATGTTTTATTGCCAAATGGGTTAAGTGATTATCAAGCAGGTTTAGCTGTTATATCAAATAATAATAATAATAATCTATTTCTACAAGTACATGATCCAACTTATACAGACCATAGCTGATGTCAGTGACATACTATATAGAAAGCCCCTAGTTATACAGAGCATTTCAGGCAACTTAGGTTAATTTTGTCCCCAGGATGTGACCCACACTGGTCAGCTATCACCCAGGTACATACTGCTAGTGAACAGGGACAGCTGGTGTCATAAGGCAGCATGCCCCAATGTTTCCACCTGTACCGGGGATCGAACCATGGACCTGTGCATGAGCTGAGTTCAATACCAACTGAGCTTTCTGTGAACACTAAAAAGGATGTTGCCATGGTAAAATGCTTTTTTCACCAATTAAGTTGCTAATATAAATCCAAATGCACATACCTAATTTAACATTGTCATGTTGCTTGAGTAGCTTGCAAAACAATAACACCTTACTGCGCTGACCAACATAAATTAACCTAGGGTTCCCTGATGCTTGTGAAGGCTCTTGATCCAAGGGATTGGAGCTGTCCTCTTCCATGGATCAAACCTGATTCCTTCCCATTTTCTAGACATTGTCTAAGGGATCTCAGGAATGGTTAGAGTCAGTCTTTCAAAATTAATAATTTAATTGGAGTTTTTAATTGGTGGTGGTTATTTTAACTTGGTATGACAGCATTTATTTGTGTTGAGCATTTTTAATCATGTTTGTAGCTTTTATTGCTTGTTAACTTTATCTTTGTTTTTATTGTGTGATGCATATAATGTTTTTTTTATTGGAATGAGTGCATAGTTACCTTTACTATCCAAAATCTTCGAGGAACTCATATACAAGAGATTATACTCCTTTATGACATCGCAGAGTATTATCAACCCCTGCCAGTTTGGGTTTGGGAAAAACAAAAACACAGATGATACAATTATAAAAATGCTAGACGTACTTTACACAGCACTTGAAAAAAATTAATATCCACTAGGACTTTATCAACCCAAGGAAAGCTTTTGATACAGTAGATCACAGCATCCTACTTTACAAACTAGATCATTATGGTATCAGAGGTCATGCACTTGCATATATAGTCTTACCTTACCAACAGACAGCAGTACGTTTCTGTTAACCCTTTCAGGGTCGCCAGGCCCTCTCCGAGACTTGTTCTCAGGGTCGCCAAATTTTCAAAAAAAAAAAATGATTTTTTTCTTATGAAAAGACAGAGAATCTTTTTCCCGATCATAATGACACCAAAAGTATGAAATTTGATGGAAAACTTATGGAATTATGCTCTCGCGAAGTTAGCGGTCTTGACGATGTTTACGCATCGGCGATTTTGCCCACTTTGAGCCCTATTTTCGGCCAATTCCAGTGCACTAGTCGACAGAAATTATAACTATTTCGCAAGAACTCCATTTTTTCTATCAATTGAGTACAAGAAACCACCCATTTACCGATTTCAACTATCCAATAAAGTGGTCAGAATTTAGCAATTTTGCCAATTTCACACAAATTTCAAAAGATGCCAATTTCCGAATAGGGTCCAGAATAAACAAGAAAGACATTCTTGGCACTAAAATAATATTTCCTCTGTTCATTAGTCATGTCCCCATGCCTCTCTTACATTCTTTTGCTTTCCACTTTGAATTTTTATTCTCACAAAAAACAGAAGATTTACTGTTATGCAGACTACTGCATTAGTGTAGAAATGGTATAAATAATATCAGCGCACCTGTGAAAGAATATTAGACTCACCAGTTGACGTGTATTGGACACGTAGCATGATTTGTTTACTTTTGAACTTTGGTAAAAATCGAACATTTCTGCTATTTGTAGCTCAATTTCAAGGTACTACTTTTCATTTTAAAACTAGTCAAAAATCATCTCAATTTCTGTAATATGTCTTCCATTTTATAAAATGAGACCAGGAAAACTAGAATACAACAATAAATACCATACGAAAATACAGTGCAAAATAGCTGTTTTAATCCAGAAACACGGTCAAAGTTTTTTTTTTTTTAATACGCACTGTGTGCTGCAGGATTTTTTTTATACTGCGCACACTGACCACATAGACCCATTCTTTCATATGTAGGCCTACCAGCTTTCTGTCACTAGATTTGAGGGCGCTAGGCTAGGCATACTAGTACGTCAAAAACCCTGGTGCGTAAGCTGCACTTGTACGTCCGAAACCCTGAAAGGGTTAATGACATAACCTCCTCATCAAGACCTGTGAACATTGGCATTCCACAGGGAAGCGTCCTTGGACCTCTACTTTTCCTTTAATACATCAGCAACCTTCCAAATGTATTGCAACAACTTACTTATTCTCTTTGCTGATGACACAACTTTTGTCATCTCCCACTCAAATCCAGTATCACTCAACAACATTTCTAATGTAGGACAGTACCTCGTGGCCTGGTGGCTCAAGCTCTCACTTCACACGACGAGGGTCTGAGTTCAATTCCCTCACCCACTTCTCACATCCAGCTGACTTCTCTTCCACAACTATGGCAAACACTCAAGACCTCTTCATCCCGAATGGCATCGTTGACTACAACTCATCAACACCCAAAGGTATATCCCAGATGTGCAGTTGTCAACAATGACTCAACACCATTTATAAAATTCTACAGGAAAATAGTATACTGAGGCAGAAAAATAAAACCTACAAAAACTGATTGCAGTCCTAGAGCATTCTCTATTTATCCAAAACACGAGGATTAGCAACCTAGACTGCCATCTAACAATATAAAACTCAAGGATTAGTGAACTAGAAGACAAACTGACAACCTAAACAAATATGACCAAGCAACACAAACCTGGAACTTTAGCCACACATACTGAGCAAATAGATTCCCTCACCACCAAGTTGTCAGAAGCTACACAAGATTGGAGGTTAAACATGGAATCCCAATGGAGTGCATGCTTCCAGTATCAAAGGGACTTGATTGAACAAGACAAGATCCTAGACTCTGTATTTTAACCAGCTCTAACCTACCATCAGATACAAACCAAGACAACTGCACCTACAAAACACTTCAGGTAATAAAAGATGAGATACATATTAACATTGAAACCAGCAATATCAAAAAGGCCCTGACTGCTAGGCAGGCCTGGTCAAAAGCAGTGTTATACCTGGAGAGGGTTTCAGGGGTCAACGCCTCCGCGGCCCGGCCTGTAGCCAGGCCTCATGATGGATCAGGGCCTGATCAACCAGGCTGTTACTGTTGGCCGCATGCAACCCAACATACGAACCACAGCCTGGCTGGTCAGGTACTGACTTTAGGTGCCTGTCCAGTGCCTTCTTGAAGACAGCCATGGGTCTGTTGATAATCCCCCTTATGTATGCTGGAAGGCAGTTGAACAGTCTTGGGCCCCTGACACTTATTGTGCTGTCTCTTAACGTGCTAGTGGCACCCCTGGAACTGATGGACTGAACACATTGACTCCAGGCTAAGGGACTGATTACCTCAAACTCCTCCTCATCTTTCTCTGTTCTTCTTTGTATTGTTTACCTGGAGTTTACCTGGAGAGAGTTCTGGGGGTCAACGCCCCCGCGGCTCGGTCTGTGACCAGGCCTCCTGGTGGATCAGGGTCTGATCAACCAGGCTGTTACTGCTGGCTGCACGCAATCCAACGTACGAGCCACAGCCCAGCTGATCAGGAACCGTAGTGAGTGATTTTCGTGTGCAAGTTCAGTACTAGTCCCTCTAGGATTTTCCAGGTGTATATAATCATGTATCTCTCCCGCCTGCGTTCCAGGGAATACAGGTTCAGGAACCTCAAGTGCTCCCAGTAATTGAGGTGTTTTATCTCCGTAATGCGTGCCGTGAAGGTTCTCTGTACATTTTCTAGGTCAGCAATTTCACCTGCCTTGAAAGGTGCTGTTAGTGTGCAGCAATATTCCAGCCTAGATAGAACAAGTGACCTGAAGAGTGTCATCATGGGCTTGGCATCCCTCGTTTTGAAGGTTCTCATTATCCATCCTGTCATTTTTCTAGCAGATGCGATTGATACAATGTTATGGTCCTTGAAGGTGAGATCCTCCGACATGATCACTCCCAGGTCTTTGACGTTGGTGTTTCGCTCTATTTGTGGCCAGAATTTGTTTTGTACTATGATGAAGATTTAATTTCCTCGTGTTTACCACATCTGAGTAATTGAAATTTCTCATAGTTGAACTTCATATTGTTTTCTACAGCCCACTGAAAGATTTGGTTGATGTCCGCCTGGAGCCTTGCAGTGTCTGCAATGGAAGACCCTGTCATGCAGATTCGGGTGTCATCTGCAAAGGAAGACACGGTGCTGTGGCTGACATCCTTGTCTATGTCAGATATGAGGATGAGGAACAAGATGGGAGCGAGTACTGTGCCTTGTGGAACAGAGCGTTTAACCGTGGCTGCCTCGGACTTTACTCTGTTGACTACTACTCTCTGTGTTCTGTTAGTGAGGAAATTAAGATCCATCGACCGACTTTTCCGTTATTCCTTTAGCACGCTTTTTGGGTGCGCTATTACGCCATGGTCACACTTGTCGAAGGCTTTGCAAAGTCTGATAAAATTACATCTGCATTCTTTTTGTCTTCTAGTGCTCTAGGACCTTGTCGTAGTGATCCAATAGCTGAGACAGACGGGAGCGACCGGGTTCTAAAACCCATGTTGCCCTGGGTTGTGTAACTGATGGGTTTCTAGAGGGGTGGTGTGATCTTGCTTCTTAGGCCCCTTTTTCAAAGATTTTTATGATATGGGATGTTAGTGCTATTGGTCTGTATTTTTCTTTGCTTTTACTGCCCCCTTTGTGGAGGGGGGCTATGTCTTGTTTTTAGTAACTGTGGGACGACCCCCGTGTACATGCTCCCTCTCCATAGGATGGTAAAGGCTCGTGATAGGGGCTTCTTGCAGTTCTTGATGAACATGGAGTTCCATAGTTTTGCCCTGGGGCAGAGTGCATGGGCATGTCATTTATCGCCTGTTCGAAGTCATTTGGAGTCAGGATAACATCAATAGGCTGTGTTAACCAATTCTGTGGCTCTCTCATAAAAATTCATTTTGATCTTCGACTCTCATTCTGGTTAGTGGCTTGCTAAAAACTGAGTCATATTGGACTTGAGTAGCTCACTCATTTCCTTGCTGTCATTTGTGTAGGACCCATCTTGTTTAAGTAAGGCCCAATACGGGACGTTGTTCTCAACTTTGATTTGGCATAGGGGAGAAATACTTTGGGTTTCTTTCGATTTCATTTATGGCTTTTAGTTCTTCCCGCATTCCTGACTCCAAATAAGTTTCCTTTAGCTTAAGTTCGTTTGTTTGCTATTTCTCTGACCAGTGTCCCCCTACGCATTTCAGATAGATTGACC